GGTACAAGCTGCTGTTTTGCTTGGATGCCTTTTCCCAGCTCTTCTACCACACTGCCATTGGCCACAATCCCAACACAACATACAACAAGCACTCCAGGAATACACTTCCCTGCTTCCCAGTGTCCTCCCAGGTGCTGGACACGCTCTGTAACAAGGAATGTCAGTGGGTGGTCACACACCAGCAATTCCAGCCCAAATTCCCTGTGGATCTTGCACAAACACTCCTGCTGCTGTCACGTGCCAACACCTGCACTGCCACAGCTTGGATGGAATTATTCCCAAGGGAGCTGGGAAGGATTTGTTCACACCTGTTGCAGCAGCACTTTCAGGTGCCTGGACACACAGAAAGGGCTGAATTTAATTTTACAGCCATTTAACTCCATTGAACTCCACGAGTCAAGCCCAGGGACTGGATCTAAGTGTTTCCAGACTGGGGGCCTTAAGGCAGAGCTCAGCTCTCACCATCCTGCTGGAATTATTCCAGACACAGGTCGTTCACTGCGGGTACAGTTTGTGCAGTTTGCTGAAAACCAGCAAATAGGAGACAAGACCTGCCCAGACAGCAAAGTCTGTCCTGTTGTTTTCTTGGTTTCATCCACTAGATGGAGAATGTTATTGATAACAGCTCCAAAAAACCTGCAACTGCTTAAAGGGAGGGTGAGGCTGGATAACAGGGAAAGGTTCTTCCCCCAGAGGGTGTTGGGGCACTGAACAGGCTCCCCAGGGCAGTGGTCTCAGCACCAAGGCTGCCAGAGCTCAAGGAACGTTTGGACAACGCTCTCAGGACAGGGGGGGATTGTTAGGGCGTCCTGGGCAGGGCCAAGAGTTGGACTGATGATCCATCCCTGTGGGTCCCTTCCAACTCAGGGTATTCCATGATTCCATGAAATTCAAAGAACAAACTTCCAGAATTAGTTTCATGTTGTTTATATAAAAGCATTTTTCTTTTCCACCTCAGTAAACTCCAAACCATCCCACAGCTGTTGGGGAAAGACCTATTTTTGGGAAGATGATGAGCATGACAGGAATGCTGACAGAGTGTATCCCAATAGTGAAGGCAGGTCCACAATGTCAGACTCAAAGCATCCCTTAAAATCATGGAATTAGATGGAAGGGACCTTAAAGTTCATCTATTCCATGAGCAGAAACACCTTCCACTATCCCAGGTTGCTCCAAACCCCGTCCAACCTGGCCTTGGACACTTCCAGGGATGGGGCAGCCACAGCTGCTCTGGGCAACCTGTGCCAGGGCCTCCCCACCCTCACAGGGAAGGATTTCTTCCCAATATTCAGTCTAAACCTGCAATTAATTCCCTCTGTCAGCTTACTTAAAACAGAAACTTTAGTAAAAAAAGGAAATATTTTTTTTTTTATAATTTTATATCTTTCCTAATAAATGCACTGCTCATCCTCTATACACTGGGAAAACTTCCTGATCCAGCAATTCCAGGGGCATCAAGGACAGACCCCAGCATTGGCACATCCTGCCATCCTGCTACTACAAAAAGCAGGATGGCCAATATCAAACACACAAGTAACCTGCTTACTCCAGTCTTCTAACAGATTTTTGTCCTGGTAGCCACCTAGAGAAAGAAGCCTTTCCAGCTGCCCAAACAGACCTGACCACTGCTTTAAAACAGGGATACCAGGATTTTAACATTCTTCCAAAAATACTTATAAACTGGTGATCACTTCAGTAGGAAAACACAGAGTGAATTCTTCATGTTCTGAAATAGTTTCATAATCACTGAGGTTGGAAAAGCCCTCCCAGCCCATCGAGTCCAACCTGTGCCCGATCCCCACCTTGTCCCCCAGCCCAGAGCACCGAGAGCCACATCCAGGCCTTCCTTGGACACCTCCAGGGACGGGGACTCCAAACCTCCCTGGGCAGCCCCTCCCAATGCCTGACAGCCCTTTCAAGGAAGAAATTCCTCCTTTTGTCCAATGTGAACCTCCTCTGGCAGAGCTGGAGGCCATTTCCTCTTGTCCTGTCCCTGGGAGCAGAGCCTGATCCCCACCTTGCCTCACAATTTTTCATTTTTTTTTGATCCCGGTTTGTCATTCCCCCTCCCCCTAGTTAAAAAAAAAAAACAAACTAAACTCAGCTTTAAACTTACAACATTATAAATTCCCAGGATATGGGAGGTAGGTTGGCACATGTAACACATTTGTGCCTGAGAAGCAGGGACATAAAGGGCGAGTAACTTCCCAGTTGCCAGGAATTCCCTCCATTCCTTTCCACCATAACACAGGCTCCGATTTTCAGAGGAGAACTTGAACTTCACGTATTTTTTCCCTTAAGTGCTCTAAGTCAGGAGTTACAAACAGGAAACAAGATAAAATGATTTTGTTCAACAGACAACATTACAAATTATTTTATTCAAGTCCTAAAGGCAAAGGATGTGACGAAGTTAAACCTTCTGTGTATTTTGCAGTCCAACAACTGGTAGGGAAAACTCAGCACTGAACAGCAGCTTTAAAAACCTAAAACTGCAAGGAAACAGTGTTTGATGTGACTTTTAAGACAGTTGATTCTTTTTATTTTTACTTGGGGGGGAAAAAAAGATTAGTCTTTAAATGAATACACAAAAAAAAAACAACAACAGAAAATAAAGTTACTTCAATTACTGTTAATAACTAAGTATCAAGTTTCAAACTAAAGGAAATAAGTCTGTGACCAAAATTTTATTGGCAAAGTTTCATCTACAAGGACCTTTTGTGGTTCTAATTCTAATCTTTTCTCAACCCCAGCAACTCCAATTCAAGGATTTCTCCAATGAAATAAGAGAAAAAGCCTTCAAGTTCTGACAAAATAAAAACATGTGTCGTTCCTGCACAAATGGTGTTCTACCAATTTAGGGAAAAGCTTAAGAAAGAGACACCTCAAGTCCTTGCAAATGGGAGTCTCTTCCCAGAATTCCCGTGGATCTGAATCCCAGGGACAGCCCAACTCCTCGCAAAGTCAAAGCAAATCTGTAATTAGAGTTTCTGGTGACAGGAGCTGGGAGTGAAAGCTCATCTTTCCTCTCCTCATCACCCCAGAACTCCAGAACAAGGATGCTGTCCCTGTTACAACCAGCACAGGCAGGAAATGAGCCTTTTCCAAACACATTTAGTGGAACAAGTGCTGGTGGAGCCCCTGCAGCTGTGGACATTGAGACTTAGTACCACACTTAATGGTATTACTCAATTATTCTGGGTGTTATTAATCAATTAGCTCTTTAAAAAAAAAACATAATTAACACCTGTCCTGGAACCACAAAACTTACACATGGCTGGGTAATGAAAACGATAAGGCCACAGTTACTGTAAAACAGATGAAAAATCAAAAAACAACAACAAAAAAACCAAAGTGTTTTCATCCTCTGAAGGAGACAAAATGTTTCCCAAATCCAACCTCAATCATTTTATTCTCTCAATAAATATATAATCTTTCTTCCTAACAGCTGGTAGTGAAAACTGAACTACTGCCAAGGTGCTCACAGTAATCAAATCCCTCATATTCTAGTCCATTTCTAAGAACATCTGTTTTATATAAATACATTTATATACATATAAATACTTTCTAACAGAGAAAATCCCACAGTTTCAAGAATCACTTGAAATTCAGTGACTACACTATGAAATTCAGACAAAGGCACTTTTTTGCTTGATATTTTAAATTCTTAATTTAAACATTCAAAATTTCTGCTTCTTGAAATCCTGCCATGGACAGGGTACTACACCTCATAGAGAAGGCAAAAAAAATAGCAAAAAAAACATTCCCAATTTAATTTAATAATGATTTAAAGCCACTTCCACTGTAGCAATTGCTCAGTTGCTAATAACACTTGTTTACTTCAAAAAATCTTCCCTGGAGAGCTCCAAAAATAAACTGATCCATAAACTATCCGTGCCATAGCAGGATAAAATGGCTATATTTGGTGAAGTACACAGCTTCCCACTGTGCAAGAATTTAAAAATAAAACAAAAAACAAAAAAGGCAACACTTGAATTGCAAATAAGGGCAAAGGGAAGACTGAGTATGTTCCGAGAATGCTGGAATGGTTTGGGTTGGAAGGCACCTAGAAGACCATCCAGGTCCATCCCCTGTACATTCCACTATCCCAGGTTGCTCCAAGCCCTGTCCAACCTGGCCTTGGACACTTCCAGCGATGGGGCAGCCACAGCTTCTCTGGGCAACCTGTGCCAGGGCCTCACCCTCCTCACAGGGAAGGATTTCTTCCCAATATCCCATCTAATCCTACTCTCTTTAGTCGAACAGCTCACTGGTATGAAGAGGGTAGAAGACACCAACCCCGATATGGATGCAAAAAACCCCCTCTCGCACTACATGACCACACACTAAAGCACGGCAGGACGCGGTTTTCCTCCCGCTGAGGGATGAAGATCCCAGGGATATTCCCTGTCCGTGACCACTCCGGAGCAGCGGCAGCACCGAGCGCGTCCTGCCCCAGGAGAAGGGATGGAGGGAGCGCTCCCATCCCATCCCATCCCTCCCAACCCGAACCTGCAGCGCCGGCTCCGACCTGCCCTTGCCCCAAACACCCCTGGGGGGACACCGACCCCAGCACTGACCCTGCAGGGGGTGACCTCCAGCCCCGGGGAAGGGACCTTAAAGATCATTTAATTCTAATCCCCTGCCACAGGCAGGGACACCTTCCACTAGACCAGGCTGCTCCAATCCCGGTCCAACCTGGCCTTGGACACTTCCAGGCACGGGACAGCCACAGCTCCTCTGGGCAACCTGTGCCAGGGCCTTGCGAAGGATTCCTCCCCAATATCAAACCACGGGTTGACAGGGAAGCCACGGGGGGTGGGGGGTGCGCGCGGCCCCCCCGCCTCGGCCGCTCCCTCCCCGCCGGGCTCGCGGCCCGGGGGGCGCGGCGGGTGCGCGGTGCGTGTGCCCGGGTGTGCGGCGGGTGCGGCCGTGCGGGGCCGTGCGGGGCCGTGGGGCGGCCCGGGGCGCGGAGCCGCCCGCCCGCGGGGGCGCCGCGTTACCGTGTGAGGCGGGTGCCGAGTTCTCGTGGTGTTTTGTGCGGCGGCTGCGATAATGGCGTCCTTCCTCGCGAGAGATCCGCCGCGCTGCCCGCGCCGCGCACGCGCCGCGCCCGCGCGCCGGGCGCATCACCCCCCCCCCACCCCGCCCTGCGCCGCCGAGGCGCCGCGAGGGGCAGAACCGGACTACAGCTCCCAGAGGGCACCGCGCGCGCCCCCGCAGGAGCACGCCGGGACCTGTAGTACGCGCGGGGGACGCGGGGCGTGCCGGGAAGTGTAGTCACGGAATCACGGAATCACGGAATCAAGGAGTCACTGAGGGTGGGAAAAAGGCTCCGGGATCAGCGAGTCCAACCTGTGACCGATCCCTGCCTTGTCACCCAGCCCAGAGCACTGAGTGCCATGTCCAGGCCTTCCTTGAACACCTCCAGGGATGGGGACTCCTCCTCCAAACCTCCCTGGGCAGCCCCTCCCAATGCCTGACAGCCCTTTCAAGGAAGAAATTCCTCCTGATGTCCAACCTGAACTTCCCCTGGCACAGTTGGAGGCCATTTCCTCTTGTCCTGTCCCTTGTTCCCTGGGAGCAGAGCCCGACCCCCACCTGGCTCCCCCCTCTGTCAGGGTCTTGCAGAGCCAGAAGGACCCCCCTGAGCCTCCTTTTCTCCAGGCTGAGCCCCCCCAGCTCCCTCAGCTTCTCCTGGTGCTCCAGACCCTTCCCTAGCTCTGTTCACTTTCCTGGACACACTCCAGCCCATCCATGTCCTTCCTGAAGTCCACACCTCACCACCCCACACCCTCACCCACACAACTGCCCCCTCACCCTGTGCCCACCCTGAGCGCACACAGAGCCCTGAGGGTTCCACGCAACCCTCTGGCTCAGAGGGACCCGCCTGTGCTCCCCAGGACGTTTTGGACAACGCAGCCCAGTGTTGTGTGCACTCATCCTCCAGCCTGTGATCACGGCCTGCTGTTCCTCCTCCAGCAGCGGTCTCAGGACCACTGCAAACCCCATTATTCCATGTCTTTTTTACTGCTTCCAGACCTGCCACAGTCCTTGGCCAGCAAGTCGTCACCCAGCCGATCAAAGTGTATCTGCACCTCAAAATCCACTCACACACATTCCCATCCCTTACTCCTTTCTCTGCTCCTTCCATCAAATTCCTCCCAGAGCTCCTGAACACCTGAAGTGGGATGAGCTGGGTGAGAGCTGTCATGCTAAGAAGGATAATGTCCCCATGCTAAGAGCACAGCTGAAGAGAGGCAGTGAGTGGGAATTTGCTAAATGAACTCAGCAGCCTGATCCTGCTGCTGCTCTGTTCCTGCGTGTGCTGTGAGAACAGAAGGGCAGGGAGAAGGTGGGAAACGGTCTGTTCACCTCCTGGGAAGGATAAAAGTATGCAAAAGCACAAAAAAGAAGCATGGAGGAAGTAAGCAAGTGGCTCTGAAAGAAGACAGAGATTAGACTGTTTTATATCTTTATATATCACAGTGTTGCCCAATAAAGACCATCACCATACTTCATTTTTCAGCTTCAGTGGTGACCTTCAGACTTTTGTATAAAAATATTCCTTAAATAAGATGCTTAATCCACTCTAGTTCAACTGTAACTGGTTATCCTACAGATACAACTCCAGACCTAATGGGGCTGTTCCTGGGTTGAAATGCTGTTCTCAGGTGCTATAGCTTTGTTCAAAAGTGCTTTAGTCCCTTCTCAAGTCAAAGTTTTCAGTATTAAAGAGTTTTCATGAGCTTGGGAATTAACAACTGGTGTGTCAGAAAAAGCCTTGCTCCTGTATCCAGATTTGTAACTGCTTGGCCGAGTCTGTTGATTTACTTACTGTGTTCTCTCCCTTCACAAGTAGATTAGGCAGTTCAAAGGTTAAACTACTTATAAACTGACTTTTCACACAGGATTATTTCACACTTTGCTGCAGGAATTTGCCCTGTGATAGTTTTGCTATAGAGTGTCTGCTGGACTCAAGCAATTGCCAGGTCTCAGCTTGGAAAACAGAGATAGAAATATCGATGTTCTACCTGCTGTGGGAAGCTGCTGGTAAAAACCTTTGTCATCCTAAACCAGCCTGATATAAAAGCTGTCCTGATTTTGTATCCCCTCCCAGAGGTTATTAACTCCTGTTCTGCTGAAGGTGTGAGATCCTGCTCCTCCGCAGAGCCCGGGAATCATTTCTCAACACAACACAAACAGAAAAACTATGCTTGTCATAAACCAATTATAGTATTTATCTAAGGGGGTCAAATTAACTGGAAATACTGGCGGGATCCAACTGATCTCCGCAACTTTGATCAGAGATAACAGCACAATAAACCAATAATATAACAGTTTATCACTAAGAAAGGCTGCGGGACCTTGTGCCAGGAAGGAAGTCCACTCTGATCCAGCAAGATGGAATCTACAATTAACTTACTGCTTGTTTTTACCTCTTTACCACAGCAATGATTTTGGATTCTTTTTCCTATCATTTTCTCAAAGCAGGGGATGTTTCCTTTTAAAATTTTGAATTACACCAATAAATCATGATAAGACTCCATTATCACAGCTTATCCCTTGTGCCATGGAGATGGACACAGCCAGACCTGATAAACACTTCAGAAAGTCTGACTGCAAATCTTGGGAAACAGCAGGAGAAAGAGGATCTTTCTGCTCCCAGCCTCCAGTGGAGACCTACACTGTGCTTAATCAGAAGGCCCAAATTTGGCTTTCAGTCTTTAATTCACATGAACACATGAATGACTGAGCTCAGGAGAATTGTTTTCTGTGCTTCACAATCTCCTGAGCTTTAGGAGCTTTCAAAAAATGAGCTCACCTGACTCTTTCTGCAATAATTGAATGAAATTCAGTATAATCCCCCTTCAGTGAATGAGGGCTTCATTTCACCACGGGATAAGAGTCTGTCCATGAGCAAACACTGGCAAGAAGTTGATACACTGTGTGCTGGTTTAAAAGTAAACCAGCAGGGGAAAATGAACTCAACCTAAAAGAGAGATTATAAATCAGAATAACAATTTAATAAAATAACACAATAAGTACGATTATACAGACAAACAATTGGTTTTAACCCACAAAACCCAAATGTATAACCCAGCACCCTGGGGCATGAACAGAGTGGTGTTTGTTGGGCCCCCTGAGTCCAAAGGAAAAGGAGAGGGGAAAACCTGTTGGTGAGAGTGCTGTTGCAGTCTGGTCAGAAGTGGTGGTTACAGTCCAGTAAAGAGTGGTGGTCTGCAGTTTTCCTCTGAATCCCACGAGTGGTTAAAAAAGTTCCAAGACTCCAAGATTATCTATTCTCCAGTTCAGGCAGGAATGCCCAGTACTTTCCTCAGGGTGGGGAGTTTCACAAAGGGTGTGAGGAACAGGAGTCACCCTTCTATATCTCACAGGCCTCTCAACACCTAGTTTGCAGCCTGAGGAGTCAGGCTGCTCTGGGCAGAGGGTGTAAATAGTCTATTGAAAACAGTTTCTGGGAAATGGCATGGAAGGCTATAGAATACACAGTTTTGGGTTATACCCATCCAGTGATGAACTGGTCCGAGCTGTCCTAACTAGGACACACTGGAAGTTATATTCTGATTTAAATCATGGTAACTTGCTCAAGTGCCTACATCAAATCCATTCTTATTTTCCTTCCCCCATATAAAAATGAGCAAAAACTTCAGAGTGTAATATATCAATTTAGTTTTTTAATTTTAAAGAAGAAAATACATTTTGTTGCCCTGTTAGTTTGTGTTCCCAAATAAAACAAGGGGTTTTTTTGTTTTATTTCCTCACCCTTTCCATCCTCTTTTTTTTTTTTTCCTAGTCTCTCTTTTGCATTTTATTTCTGTGCTACCATTTCTCTGCCATGTTATGAAGAATCATTTGGTTCCAGGAAATATCCAGCTTATTTTACCCTTGTATCAGCATTCATTTACTATTGTTTTCTGAGGAAGTTGCTGCTTTCACATGTTTTGTGTGGATCAGGAGAGATTGGTATCTCATTCATTGGTTTCCTTTTTTTGTTGTTAGGGAAAAAAAACCTTTCATAGCATCAAAGGTAAAAAATTAACACACTGTGCACACGATTTTGCAGCTGCAGCAGCAGCAGGAAAACAAAGGTTGCCAAACAAAGCATTTGTTTAAACAAGTGACAGGCATTTCTAATTATCCTCACTGCTGAGCAAGAGGATACAGGAACAAAGGGATGAAGAACACACAAGATGTGAGCAGGGCACAGAAATAACTCCAGAGGATTTGCTGTAAGAACTCTCTAGGAATAATTTTGGTTCCTATGGATAAAATCCTCAACCACACCCTGTGCTATTAAAAGCAAAAAGAGTACTTGAAGTTCCTCTGTTTATTCAGCTTTTATTTGAGTTTATTCATATTCTGCACAACATCTTTTGTAACTGGAGAGGGACACAAACCCAGCCTGGTGAACACAGCAGGTCCTATACTGGGACAGTGATTCTTAGTGAAAAGTTACATAAAATACATTTCTAAACAAGACAATATTAATATTATTTGTAAATTTGCTGTAGCAGCATATGAGGAGCGACTGGGGGAGCTGGGGGGGCTCAGCCTGGAGAAAAGGAGGCTCAGGGGGACCTTCTCCCTCTCCACAACTCCCTGACAGGAGGATGGAGCCAGGTGGGGGTGAGGCTCTGCTCCCAGGGAACAAGGGACAGGACCAGAGGAAACGGCCTCCAGCTGTGCCAGGGGAGGTTCAGGTTGGACATCAGGAGGAATTTCTTCCTGGAAAGGGTGGTCAGGCCTTGGAAGGGGCTGCCCAGGGAGGTGGTGGAGTCCCCATCCCTGGAGGTGTCTAAGGAAGGCCTGGATGTGACACTCAGTGCTCTGGGCTGGGTGACAGAGGGGAGATTGAGCAGAGGTTGGACTCTCCAACTTCAGTGACTCTGTGATTCTGTGATTTCTCCTTTTATCAGCAGAAAACTTCTCTGCTGTTGAAATCTTGTGTGTTTTCCACCTCCAAAAAGAGGTACCTCATCGCTTATTTTTCGGACACCACATCCATTTGCAGTCCTTTCAGAATTGGTCTTTGATTTATAACAGAAAAATGTCAGGATCAAGTGGGTTTTGCTCCTGAACCTACTT